ATATTTAGATCAGTTAGGTCATTATCCATAACAATAATACGCCTTGCCTCTTGGATTAATTTATATAACTTTTCTATTAATTGACTTGCCAGACGATTTTGTGCTTAAGCAATTATAGATACTATTTCATCAAGCCATAAATCATATTGGATTGGAAGGCATTTACATTTTTTACCGCATTTACAATTATTAGTAATCTGATGTAAGCTTTCTATCTGGCAAACTACTCTCTTGTGATCAGGTATATTTATATTACTATCAATATCACAATATGATTTGAGATTGAGTCTTGTAGTAACAGCATTCGAGTAAGAGTGGCGTGTGGATAATACTAGTAAATTCATATCATCAGATATAGTAAGATGCTTTAGAACATATGTTTTCCCGTCTCCCAAGATGATCCTACATAGATATCGCCTTCATTAGGTAATAGTCTTAAATATCTCTCCTTATATGTTTCTGTCGCTGTAAGGAAATCATTATACTGGACCCAAGATGGAAATTTTATGAAGGCTTTAGAAAAACCTGGGCCTTTTATCTTGCGAATGTTAGACGCCGAAGATATATTTTTATTTTTTTGCTGAATTTTTTCCGCAATAAATGGGTCACATTTAAAAACATCCCCTGGTTCATTACTATTCTGCCAAAAGCATTTTACGATGAACCTCCTACTGCTAACGCATACACGGTCGAACCACCTCTGATCCTTGTTATGTATACGTTTACATAGTGAACATTCTAGTAGAGCTTCTGGTTGAAATATATGAAGTTTTCCTTCATTTCATCTTTTTCTTCGATAGTCCAATCCCTAAGATACAGAGGGTAGCCAAAAGTTTCTGAACACTAAGTTTGACATCGTATATCTCAAGATGCACCGATCAGAATTAGTTCAAAACTTTATATAATCTTAATACAATCTCAATCTATAATATATTAAAATTTCATTTAATTTGAATCAGTGAAAGCTGAGATATGTATGTAAACGTAAATTAATAAATATTTTAATTATATAAAATTTTTTGAATACTAAAATTTAACATCATATATCGCAAGATTCACTGATTAGAATTAGTTATAATTTTCATATATATAT